GCGAGAGAGAGAGAGCGAGCGCGGCGGTCTGAGTGTGGCCCTGCGCCGGCGTGCGAGAGAGAGAGAGCGAGCGCGGCGGTCTGAGTGTGGCCCTGTGTCTGTGTGCAGGCCGACTGGAGTTCGTCAACGGCGGCTGGTGCATGAACGACGAGGCCTCGACACACTACAGTGCCATCATTGACCAGATGACCCTGGGCCTGCGCTTCCTGAACGACACCTTCGGCCCGTGCGGGCGCCCGCGTGTAGCCTGGCACATCGACCCCTTCGGGCACTCCCGGGAGCAGGCCTCGCTGTTCGCGCAGGTACCGGGCGGGGGCCCCTGAGCCCCTGACGCACCCATCTTCTGCTCTCGCTGTCCCCTTCCCTCTGTAATCCAGTGTGCTTGTCCCCCTCCCTCTCCCAGATGGGGTTTGACGGGTTTTTCTTCGGCCGGCTGGACTACCAGGACAAGCGCAGGCGGATGAAGGACAAGGAGATGGAGCTGCTGTGGAGGGCGAGCGAGAGCCTGCAGCCACCTGGCGCCGACCTCTTCACAGGTACTGGGCCTTCACCTTTCACCTTTCACCTCTCACCTCTGGGTGTGCTCTGACCCCCCTTTTAATTTCATATAGATTCTTTGTCTAATAGTTTTTATGTTCTGTCATATGTTTGATGTTATTTTTAAAGCAAGGCAGCTTCAAGAATAGGATGTAACTGTAGCGAGTATCTCAAATGGTTTCCTGTGACAGACAACGCCTCAGTGAAATCTAACAAACAGCTCCTTTTAGGAAGTCTAACTTCCTCTCTTTGCTTCTCTGAGTTTGCTTTCTGCTTGACAAAGCGGTATAAAATATGGTTCTTTCTAAACGGCTCTTTAGTTGAGAACAGGACTGTCCTGGGCTCTGCTCTTCATGTACATCAGTGAAGGGTAGATCACTTCCTCAATCGAATCCTGATCTCCTGTGCATGTATCCCTAACACCTAACACCTCTCTCTGGGGGTGCTCTGCCCCTGCCCCCCTCCACTCCAGGTGTGCTGCCCAATGGCTATAACCCACCCGCTGGGTTCTGCTGGGACCAGTCCTGTTCTGACCCGCCTATCCAGGATGACCCGCAGCTGGAAGACTACAACGCGGACATAGTGGTGAAGAACTTCCTGGATGTGGCTCACAACCAGGCCAGTACTGCCGAAGTCCGGTGGACCTCTGTCGGATACACTCATGAGTTCTGAAGGCCGCTGCCATTTGATGATGCAGTAAGAAGTGTGTATTGTTGGATGCATCGGGAGAAGTGAAACTGTGCTGGCAGCTGGCTCTGGGCTACATTCTGGATTGGGATGCCTTCTGTGTGAAGTTTGCATGTTCTCTATGCGTCTTTAGGGGCTTTCTCTGGCTGCTCCTCCAGGTGACAAGCTGGCTGAGTTAACTGGGGTCTCTGAACTGCCCCTGGTGTGCCCTGTGCAGGACTGGCATCTCATCTGGTGGAGGAGGTCTTGTCTTGCCTTGGGCTCTGGACCGCTTGGCTTTTAGGGATCTGCAGCTTTCTGATCTTGACTCGATTTCATTTCACTCAAAAGATCACCTGACCCCCCCCCCCCGAGCTGTCCACCCAGCGCTGGTCTGCCAGGAGTTAGATACAGATCTCCGATAAAGTCACACATGTACGCTGACACACACAGTCACACACGCTCCCTGTCCAGTCTGCGTGACTCTCTCTTGTGTCTCAGGCTGAGATGTACAAGACCAATCACATCATCATGACGATGGGCTCGGACTTCCAGTACGAGAACGCCAACCTCTGGTACAAGAACCTGGACAAGCTGATCCGCTACGTCAATGTGCAGGTCAGCCACTGGGGGGCAGTGTGGGCTCAAGCTCATCCCTGACTCCGTTCCTGTACCCACAATCCAGCCTGGGTCTTCCCTGTGACCTCCACCCCCCCACGCTTGTGGGTGCTTCACTGTTTATTAGCGTTTAGACAATTGGTTATCGATCAGCATGAATTCACTGATTGCTCCATGTTGGATTACTGGTGCATATCTCACTTGTTGGTCTGGCAACGTCAGTGCCAGTTATAACAGGCTGGGCAGATTAGTGGAAATATGTAGCAAAGCAACTGGGGCAAATCAAATCAACTTGCATACCTGCTACAAACAGAGAGTTGTAATAAAGGCCGAGAGCATTATGGTGAGTGTGTCTCGCACCCTCCATAGTGAATTCACACTCTGTGTCCCTAGGTGTAATGGAACTAGGCTTGGGGCATCTGTCGTCCCCGCTGAAGTATGTCTCAAACAGTGTAGAGCAGTTCTCTTGTCTCCTGCGGCACTCTTGTACTTGTCGTGTTGGATGGGACTGTGCCGGAGGGTGACTGGTTCTTCGCCGCGTGGCGCTCCTGACTCCTGCCCTGTGTGTGTGTGTGACCTGCAGCAGTCCGTGGGCAGCAACGTCAACGTCCTCTACTCCACCCCCTCCTGCTACCTGCAGGAGCTGCACCGGGCCAACCTCAGCTGGTGAGTGCGTCCGCGCGCCCGCCCCGCTGCCCGACCCGCTGCCCGCGCCTCGCCCGGGGCAGAGGACACCCGCTCACGGCCTGTCGCCCCCTGCAGGTCGGTGAAGAGGGACGACTTCTTCCCCTACGCCGACGGGGCGTACAACTTCTGGACGGGGTACTTCACCAGCCGGCCGGCCCTCAAGCGCTACGAGCGGCTGAGCAACAACGTCCTGCAGGTCGGCACGCGCGCACGCACACACACGCGCCGGCGAACGCGCGTGCAGGGATCCGCCGGTCCGGTGACGTGACGCTGTGTGTTTCAGGCCTGCAATCAGCTGGAGGTCCTGGGGGGTCCGTCGTCACGCAAGGGTCCTTACGGCGACGGCGACAGCGACGCGCTCAGTGAGTCATCGTGCGTGTGCGTGTGCGCGTGCGTGTGTGTGCACGTCTCCGAGACGGGTGTGCTCTGTGTGGTAATTGGCCGCCTCCCGCTTGATCCCGAGTGTTGATTGGCAGGGGAGGCGATGGCTGTGGCCCAGCACCACGACGCTGTGTCGGGGACGGAGAAGCAGCATGTCGCCAACGACTACGCCCGCAGACTGGCCATGGGCTGGGCTCGCTGCCAGGTAGCCTGTCTCTCTCCATCGCTGTCCCCGCGTGATTGTATCTACATCAACAGACACACTGTCTGTTCCTCAGGCTGGGACAGGAGATCACACGCTGTATTATTATTATTATTCAACTCTCTGGACAGCCAGGTCTGCCTGTGCTCAGTATCTATGGCCAGCTTGTGGTCACTGTGCCTGTACTTCGTCAGAGTCTTTTTTCTTTGCTGTTTCTTACCCTGGTTGGTTACTCAGCTAGTGTGTATTCTCTGTTTAAGGTCCTGTAGTATTCCAGTGTTGCTTGGTTTGTGTTGTGATTTGGGTTTGAGCTGTGCTGTCCTGAGGCTGGTTGGTGTCAGTGAGCTTCAGAACCAGCTGACTCTGGGGGCTCTCCTCTGGGCTCAGCAGGGCCTTGTGGTGGAAGGAGTTCTGGTCACTGTTTCTCAGGTGTAACCAGTGTTTGATTGCTGTCTGCTCTCTGTTTCAGGTGCTGGTCAGTAACTCTCTCTCCGCCCTGAGTCGGTCAGTCACCCCTCGTTTCTACTGCGAGAATCTCAACATCAGCGTGTGTCCTGCCTCCGAGAACAACTCGCAGGTAACCCAGGCTGTGGTAGCGTTCCAGCCCACAGGATGTGCATCGTGGCTGCGTGGACAGACTGACCCTCCCCTCTCTCTCCCCTCTTGTCTGTCCCAGTTCTCCGTCACCATCTACAATCCCCTGGCTCGCTCTGTCAGCTGGACAGTGCGGCTCCCGGTCAACGGCACCGGGTACAGAGTCACTGACCCCAGGGGCCAGGCTGTGGACACGCAGGTGAGAGTGTGTGTGTGAGACAGTGTCTGGACAGCGGCACTGACTCTCCTCCTCTCGCTCAGGTGTGTGTGTCTGGACAGCGGCACTGACTCTCCTCCTCTCGCTCAGGTGTGTGTGTGTGTGT